GGTGGCCCCCCCATCCCCGTTGAACAAATTGGTCCCCAGTGTGGAAATGGAGAGCTGGGCAGGGGACAAGTCAGGACACCCCACAGGCCCACGGAGTGATCGTCCATCTCTTCCGCAGACCAGGGTCCAAATGCACAGAGGCAATACACGTGCGTTGTAGAAAACATGAAAACAAGGCAAAGCAGAAAGAAAGGAAATCACTCAATTCCACCACTCAGAAGCCACCCTCTATGTTTTGGTTTAGTTCCTCCTGGAGAAGAACTACAAGCATTTAACAGAGTGCATTACCCCAAATGAACAATTTCATACTCTGATACCTCAGTGCTATTATAAGGGAAACATTTAATGTTATTAAAATGTTTTATAAATATATGTTTAAATGCCTACAAATATTTCATCCAATAGAGAGGCTTAAACATTGAGAAGCACAAAGTCCCGTGTCCTGGGTGAACTGGGAGCCCGTCACATAACCACGGACAGACCAGGCTGCCTCTGGGACAAGTATGCAGAGAGCACTGTGCACCTAAGCAGGGCTGGGGACACTGCCAGGTTGGTCTGACAGCCTAAAAGGCAGACTGTTCTTTTCAGGAAGTGCGCGTTTAGCATTTCTGATCCGCTCTGGTCCCGGGTTTCCATCCTCCACCCAGCAGCAAGTCTCGAGCGGGTACCATGTGCCAGGATGTGAGGATAAGCGAGCTGGACACTTAGGTAACTTGCCCGGTGGGGGAAGGATGGCTCAAGGTCACACTATGAGGAAGGAGGGACCCAGGGCTTGAACTCCTGTGCCCAGACCCAGGCCTGTCACTATGCCTGCCTGCCAGTTCTCAACGGTGCAGGGAAACGCGAGGTCCCACACAGGGGCATCACAGGACCTTTGCACTGGGCACAGGTCTCTGAAACAGTCCTTCTAAGGAGCTTCTGAACACTTAGGGTGGGTGTTGCTGCCCCAAGATACTGCACGTGAATGTGAGAGCACATGAGGACCCTTTCCTGCCAAGACACACTGAGGCAGGGGCCATCTTCGACCCAGCTGGGCCTGCACCCCACTTGCCGCCCTGACGCTGGCTAGGGCAGGGAGGGCAAGGTGATCCCACCAGCCCGGCCTGCGGGGCAGAGGCCCCTGGGAGGACCCTCTGTGCTTGGCCTGACTCTGGCTCCAGGGTATCTGGGGCACATGCTGTGTGGCCACAGGGCATGCTGGTCTGAGAGCAGATCTGACAACGTCTTCAGCACCCTGGACAGGACAGGACACTGAACAAGCACAGGACGTGCCATCGTTAGTTCAGTCAGTCCTTCCCTCTCTCCCCGCCTCTCCCCAGCCTCCTGGGGAGCCATGTGTGTTAACCATGTCTTTTATTTTCTGGATTCTGATGCTTTGACATCTGGGGCCTGCTGAACCTGGAGGAACTGCCCTCCCAGGGTAGCTGACTCCTAGAGACAGTGCACAATTCACTAGGGGGCGTGAGTTTCAAATGCAAACCACCCAATCCAGAGCCCACCCCCAGCCACCTCCTCTATCAGGCCCTCACACTCTGGACCACTTGTCCTAATCACCCAGGGCCAGGTACCAGACAACTAAGGGCAGCCCCTATGCCCCAGAGCAGCTGAAATTACCCAAACTAGCCAATCCCAAGCCTGCTCACCCTGCCTCACCCGTTTCTTCCTGCAGAAACAACACTCCCCTCCCTCTGCCTCCTGACCCACGTGGTGCTTCCCGGTGTGGCCCTCCTTTTGGGATCCACGAGGAGCAACTATCTTCTCAATGGCAATCATTTCCTCATCTGCTGGCTTTACTATACCTCAAATGTTCTATTAACACACTAATCTTCAAACACCATGCTCCTCTCCTCTGCCCTCCCCAGCCCTCCTCGCCAAGCTCCCACCCAGCGTGGTCTCCCCACCTGGACTGCTGGTCCCACTTCCCTCTACCCTTCGCTGGGGTCACTGACTGGGAAGCCTCTCTGAGCTCCCCAACAGGCCAGTCCCCATCCCCTTCCTCACTACCATGTCACCGCTGCCTCTTCACGTTCATGGTCGACCCTCACAGACAGCGAGGTGTGATAGAGGCGGAGTGGGCCTGACACATGGAATGAATGAATGAACGAATGAATGAACGAACAAATGTGGAGCTGAGTGACGTGCAGCCTCTTCACCCTCATCTCAGGTTCACCGCCCAGGTTCACCCAAGGGCAACATGCTCATCTCTCCCCTCTCAGCCAAACCCGCCTGCCTGAAACTCTTGATTCCATGGGAAAGCTGTGCACCCCTGGCCCTCGTTCCTTACCGCCCTGATGCTCTCTGCTTCACTCGCCGAGACACCGGGCCCTGAACCCCCAGTACCCCAAGGGTACTGCTGCCATCCCCTGCCTACCCGGCCCCACAGTCGACCCTGGGCAGACAGTGAAACCAAAGGGCGAGGGCAGGGCGGCTCGTCTGTACCTCTGCTCCTTCTCCCCAGGTCATCTCTGCGTATGAGGATGGATAGAGACTGTTCTACCTCTGGGAAGTGGCAGATTCACGCACGGTGAGGAAGCAGGGGTACGAGGTGGTGGTGGACGCCAAGAGGTGAGAACGTGCTTGGGACGGCCTCTGAGGAGTGGGGACAATGAGGAGCCCAGGCAGGGCGGCTGTGACCAGGGCCTGAACACCACGCGGCACAGCCTGGGGCCCTGAGACGCTGCTGTCTGGTGTCCTGATATTTCTCCAACCTGGCCAGACCTCTCCCTGCTCCCTCCCCACTGCTCTCTCTCTTTGTCCCTGTGGCTTTTCTTGCAGGAAAGGGGGAAATAAAGAATGGTCGCTTTCCAATATAAAATTACACTGCAATAATAAGATATTGAATCATACAAACGCACATGGGCGGAGGATTCTTATAGGCCCCCAGGAGACCCTCCCTCATCCTCCCTCTCTTTCCCCCTCCACCCCACACCCCTACACTGAGAACCCTGATCTGGGTCAGTTCCCAACCTGCACTCTTGTGAACTGGGGCAGGCTGAGCCAGCCCCAGCTCCGCCCCCTCAGTCAGCACAGCGCTGTTTCTTAATACATAAAATGGTGATTTTATTTACTGGACTGGATGAACAAAGGGTCCCACCACCAAAAAGAGTGAAGGACTGTGACTGGGTCAGTGGTTTCTGTGGGGAGAGGACACTTTGGCCACATCTGCCCACCTTCCTCTGCAGACCCACCCACCCCATCAGCGTTCTTTGGTCTGCTTCTCCAGTGGCCAGGGCTCCTGTGGGGTGAGAGCCAGCCACAACCACCCCCCGCCACCCCCTGACCCCCGCAATGAGCACACCTCTGCAGGGTGTGCCTCCCACTGCATCTACCTTCTCTGCCCAGGGTGGACTGGGAGGAAGTGGACGGGAGAAGTGGACTGCAGTCTTACCCTCCACCTTAGCATTCACTGAGCTCCCCACTGGGCTTACGGCAAATGCTCCCTGGCCCCGTTCCCTCTATCCACCTCCTGTGGGGAGCAGGGTTACGCAATCAGTTCTGGTTTTACCAGGTCCCTGGCATATTACTAACAACATCCCACCTCCGACTTTTAACAGTTCAGTAAGTCTGGGGGCACAGCTGAATCACCTGGGGCACCTCTTAAAAATACCAATTCCCAGGTCTTCAAACAAAAACATGCACACGAATATTCATAGCAGCACTATTCATACATACCAAAAGGTGGAAAAAACCCAAATGTCCATCGATGAATGAACAGATAAACAAAATGTGGTCTATCCATACAGCAGAATATTATTCAGCCTTAAAAAGGAAGGAAGCACTGACATGCTACACCACGGATGAACCTTGAAAACATTATGCTCGGTGAGAAAGGCCAGTCACAAAAGGGCACACGTTGTATGATTCCTTCTACATGAAATTCCAGAATAGGAAAATCCATAGAGGCTGAAAGCATATTAGTGGTTGCCAGGGGCTGGAGAGAGGAGGCGAATGGGGATTCTCTGCTTAATGGGGCCTCCTTTTGGGGTGATGAAAAAGTTCTAGAACTAGATAGTGGTGATGGTTTGCACAACATTGTGAATGTGCTGAAAGCCACTGAATTGTACACTTCAAAATGGTTAAAATGGTGAATTTTCTATTATGTGAATTTTACTATAATTTAAAAAAAAACAATTCCAGATCCTGTCCCAAACCAAAGTCTTCAGGGTGGACCTGGGAACCTGTATCTTTAAGAAGCTCCACCGGGGACTAAAATTAACCGGAATTTAAGACCTGCATGGGGGAAACCCAGGTGATTTGGGGGCCTTTCTAGGGCTGACGCCAGAGTTGTGGGCAGAAGCCCTCTCCCCCTCCCCACCCACGCTGCTGGTCTGGCGGTTTCTGTGGGCTGAGCCCCCGAGCCTAGACCCAGGCTTAGCTCATCTGCATAAGCCAGCCCCCTAGCAAGTGACTGGCCAACGAGTGGACGTGTGATCTCAGCTGAACCAATGAGAATCAGGCTCGGAGTTTGCACTGAAAGGCTGCGGAAGGAGAAGCCCTCCTTTCTGCTGAGTTGCCAGAAGGTGGGAAGTGAGGCTGGGGTGACCGGAAGCTGCTGGTGGGCAGCCGTCCAGCGACCTCGGGACAAGTCTGCCCACCAGGGGGCAAACAATGAGCCGCCAGGGATGGAGAGGCCAAGCCTGATGCTGGGCCTGGGGACCCAGCGGCCTCCAGACCCCAATGCTGGCCTCAAGGGGAGGTGACCCATAGTGTGCAAGGGGGCCGGAAGGTTGCCGGAACCCCAAAACTGCTCCTCAGAGGAGGGGATTCCTGAGGGCGGGGCTCGAAGCACAATGAGGAGCTCTGAGACACCAGGTTCGCTCCGACAGGAGAAATCGTACGTGGGAAGCATAGAGGCGGAAGCTCTGCAGTGTCAAGTACAGGGAGTGATTAGAAAGGAGGCAGGGTCCCCCGAGAAGGCCCCCGGCCCCGCCCCGCGGGCACTTCTGGGCCTGTCCCTGAGTCTGTGTGTGTTGCGGTGCACATTCTCTGCCCCCACTCACCTTGCCAGGTGCACACATGGTCCCGTCCAGGGGGGGCCCTTTCTTGGTCTTGCAAAAGTAGGGGTTGTCAGGGTGGCTGCACCACAGCTGCTTGCAGGGGTCGAAGGTCCGGAACTAGAAGAGAGCACCAGCAGCTCGCCAGGCCGCTTCCAACTGCGGGACCCTCTTGGGGTGCCACCTGTCCCCAGGAACTGTCCCAACTCCAGCTGCCTCCCAGAAAGCCAGCCAGGTCCAGGGCAGGCTCCCCTCCCCTGCCCCGGGGCGGCTCCTGCACTCACCGCGGTGCACATCATGTAGCCCAGGCCGAAGTCGAAGCGGCACTGCTCGTTCATGGAGTAGTGCAGCCCCGGGAGCTGCGGCAGCGCCGGCCAGTCGTGGGCAAAGGGGTCGTCCCGCAGGCAGTCATAGGAGCTGTGAGGGACACGTGGGCTGTCCAGCCTGTGAGGCAGCTGGCGCCCCTACTGGAACCGAGGGGGGCCTTGCCTGCACACCCAGCCCTCAGCCGTGCTGCCTCCGTGTCCAGCTGCATCTCTTTTTCTTGGTGTAAGCTACCCAGAAGCCCAGATCTCGGGATCCCAGGCGTCCATGAAAGGTGCGGCTGCCATGCCCACCTCCCCTTCAAGGCCGTGCCCCCAACAGTGGACTCGCAGCCACACACGCACACCCACCTGCGCTGCTCTCTCCCTCTCCCATCCCCTGGGCCTCAGGCTGAGACTGGAGGTCTGAGGGCTCGGGCTGGACCCAGGCACAGGGGGACACGCGCCCTCCTAGAGCTGAGCCGGGGCTGCGGGGTCGTCCTGGGGGAGCAGGGCAGTACTCACTGCAGGTAGCGGCTCAGCTCCTGCTGGCTGCAGCGGGACCAGTGGAAGCGGTGGAAGGCTGCCTGCACCAGGGGCGCCATGATGCTGCCCAGGCGCACCTCGTCGCCGCAGCGGTTGCCCTGCCCGTCGTGCTCCATGCCCAGCCTGCACAGGGAGCCAAGGCGGCTTCACTGGACCCTCGCCTAGCCCCACTGACCTGTCAGCTCCACCCCACCCGAACGCTGGGAGGGCACCCCAACCTCCCTGAGCTGTCTTCCCCCGACCTTAGCTGTTCTGGTCAGCCTGGCGGTGCTGCTGTTCCACCAGCTAGATTCTTAAAGCCGGGGGCACTCTGGGGAGACGGTGTCCAGCAGCAGCCCGCTCAGTATTCTGCCCCCGTGGTGGGGCACTGCCCCAGGTCTCCAGGTGCCCTCTGCACACACCCCCCATACAGACCCGGCGGCCCCGCGAGGTTTCCCAGAAAGGTTGTCCAGCACCGATTCAGGTGGAGCCTCAGTTACTCATCTATAAAATGGGGTAAGGAGCCCCCCACCCAAGGGCTTGAAGGGCATAACGCATGAAAGGCCCCCAGCACCCGCGCAGCTCTCAGGCGCTTCCTTGGCAGAAAGTGGGCCAAGGGCCTGCCCTGTGCAGCGCTGGGAGGCCAGAAGGTCATATCCCAAGTGCTTTTCATACAGAGCATGTCCCTCAGGGCACAGAGGAGAAGCGGGGCCCCTCCGAGCCCCGACCTTCCCCAGACAACAAGGACAGTGAGGCCACTTACACGTGGCCGGTCTCATGGGCCACCACGAAGGCCGAGGAGAAGCCATCCTCGTGGTTTAGCGTGCAGCTGCGGACAGGGTGGCACATTCCGGTGACAGGAGCATAGCCTGGGAGGAGACAAAGGGCAGCTCCAGCTTCCAGGCCCAGAGCCCAGCCCGGGGCAGCTCCAGGCCCTGCCAAAGCCTGAATCAGGGGACCCTGGCCCGATGCCCCCCCACCATCCCTGGGGCAAACAAGTCGAGTCAACCGCCCCTGGCTGGCACAACTCAGGAGACATCTGCCCTGGGCAGCAGGCCTCAGCTCTGCCCATCAGTGTCCACACTGTAGCCGAGGTCAGTTTCCCAAACCCAGGTCTCACCTGCCTGGACTCTCTGCCACCCCACAGCCTCCTGCCTGCCATTCTCTCCCACGCCACCTCCCACTGTCCACTTCACGGAGTGACCTTCTGGCCCCTGGGCAGCACACTGCTTCCACACCTTCTCCCTTGTCGCAGGCACCCTGGCCCCTCCTCTGCCTGGCATCACAGCCTGGAGCCCACCCCCCAGGGAGGGTCTTCCCTGGGTCCCCTGGGGTTTCTCCAAGTCCTGTGAGACCCCAGCTGGACCCATTTCTATGTCGCACAGAAGGCTGGGCGAAGCTGTCCAAGGGCAGAGCCGGGCACAGAGAGCCAACGTGCCACATTGCCCTGCTGAGTCAAGCAGAGCCGACTGGCCGAGGGCACTGAGGGGCCAGGCCAGCGGGAGATGACAAGGCCCAAGGAGCTCTGAGCTGGCAAACTCTGTGCTCTGCCTGAGAAGATTCTGAGCCACATTCCTGCCGTGAGAGTTTCCCTCCTCAGCAAGGACCCCAGAACCTAGGAAGGTGCACCCGGAGGCAGAGGCGGGGAGGGGGAGTGGGAAGGGGTGGTTCGGCAGGCCACAGCCCCCTACATGAGATGCCCAACGACCCTCCTGTCACCCCCTCCATCAAGTGGCTTCTGAAGAGCCACTGGAGTCACAGGTAACAGTGAGGAGACAGCAGCGGGTTTTGCCAGCCCAGTCACATATGTGGCCTCAGGGAGTAGTTGGAAAACGGAGACTGACAGGGAGCGAGGGCAAGGCTGAGGAAGGAGCCCGAACGGCCCAAGCAGCGGGGTGAGAAAGCCTGAAGGTGGCGGCCTGAGGAACAGCTGCTCCCCTGGCTGGGCTGAGCCTGATCACAGCGTTTCTTCAGATGTTCCCAGGGCAGCCTTAGAGGACAGCATTCCCACAGTCCGGGACGGGGAGGGTGGTGGAGGGCATGACACCCAGACCCCACCTAAAGCTGAGGAAGACCAGAGAACGGGGCCTGCCACTTGTCCCTGGACAGGATAAAGAAGTGCGTACAGAGCTGTGCGTGCCACAGAGCTGTGACACCTGGGTCCTGGAGGCCCACCAGGCGAGGAGCCCTGACTCCGGGACCCTGCCTAGCCTCACCCCTCCCAGACCCCAGGGGGGGTCCCAAAACAATCTGTTCAAAGAGAAAAGCAGAGAAGAAGTGTGACCCTGGGTGTGCTGGGTTTAGACCTGTCTGTAAAAGCACAGTAATCTAACCATCATCTTTTTCCCTTGGAATAAACAGGAAAATCTGAATCTTAAAGTATTTTTTGGTCTGCAGACTTTGAGATGACTGTCCTTGAATCAGTGTGCCAGAGTAAAGCTTGGAGACCTTCCTCGTCCTTTGTATATAAGGCTGGCATATGAATACATGCCTCAGCGCGAAAACTTCTCATTCATCCCACGTAGCATTACATGGGCCTTCACCATTTGAAGATCTGAAAAAGCACCTTTAATTTTTTCTTTGTATCCTTCCCTCTTATTTTGTTTTGTTGTTCTCTCTTTCTGGAAATGTTATCAGATAGATATTATACTTCTGGTACTGAGCCTCTATGTCTCCTAACTTTTCTCTCATATTTTAATCTTTTTGGATGCCCTGAACTTTTTATTTTAGCTTTTGAATTTTCTATTTTACTCATCACATCTTTAATTTCATAAAAACACTTTGTTGTTCTCTAATTCTTCCTAGCAATGTGCTCTGGGTTTATAGATGTATTTTCTCAAACATTCTGGGACTATTACTTTATAAAAAGTTCCTTTCCATTCCCTAAATTATCTCTGTTTCCTTTGGAGTCAGTTTTCCCATTTTGTTTTGCACCTTTTTCATTCTATAAGTGTTTTTTGTAGTATCTGGTAATCCTTGGCTGTCCTTTCACAGTTTTAACTGAAGGACGAGGTCACTTACTACAAAGGTTGCATTGGTTCCTCTCCTAGGAACAGTTCTGCCCCCGTTAGAGCTCTCGCCCAGAAAACACGGCTACAGAGGGCTCTATGTGTCAGCGGCTGCACCGCTGGGAAGGGGGCTTAAAGGTGCGCTGGTAGCCCCTCAGCATGAGGAGGCACCAACAGCAGCAAGGAGCCTCCCTCCGTGCTCAGGAGGATCCCAGTCACCTTCTCTGTTGCCACTTTCGCCCCCTTGTGGTGCCGATCAGCATGGCAAAGGGGGCAACCGCAGTGCCACAGAGATGTCAACGTAAACCGATCTTAGCTCTGACCAGGGTCACTTGAGAAGCCCCCTTAGTTATACAGAAATAGGCGAGCGGTCAGCAGAGAGAAGCTGAAGGTTAAGAGAGTGGAGTCAGACACAGAGCAGTGCATATAAAAATTCATGGAAGAAAGTGGTGGAAGGAATGAGCATATATATCATATAAATATACTTATCTTTATAAAAAGGATCACTGGAATGATCAACCAAAAACTAATAAAAATGACAGCCTGTAGAGGATGGGGTGGGTGGAATGGTTCCACTCCTAGGAATACATATTTTCGTATAGTTTTTTAAAGCTCTTTCTTTTGAAGGATAATATACGTCCGTAAAAATGCACAAGTCTTAGGATACAAGTGAATTACCCCAAGGTGATTATACCCATGTAGCCACCTCTCCGGCCAAGAAATAAACCATATCAGGGCTGCAGAAGCCCCTTCTTGCTGCTTCTTGCCGCGACTGCCTCCCCTCACCCTCCTGACTTTTAATGCCATGGATTAGTTTTGCCCATATTCAAAGTTGAAATAAATGGCAATCCGAAGTATATATTCTTCTCTATCTGGCTTCCTTCACCCAGCACTCGATGCGTGAGACTCACCCGTGGGGTGGCGTATAGTTCTACACCTTGTCACTGCTGTATGAACGTATCACAGTTTCTTCATCCACTCTCCTGCTGATGGGTTGAAGTCACTGCCTGCTCAGGAGTTATTGCACACAGTGCTGCCACGAACGCTGCTGCACAGTCTTGGTGCACAGGTGCCTGCGTGTGGCGGGGGCCTGTCTAGGAGTGTGGCTGCTGGGTAGGTGTATGTTCGGCTTTAATAGATACTGCCAAACAGCTTCCCACAGGATTTGTACCAGTTTATAGTCCTGCCAGCGGAGTAGGAGAATAACATAGCCCCATCTGCACCAACATGTGGCATTTCCAGTCTTTTAAATTTTAGTTGTTCTATTAAGTGTATCCTGGTATCTCCTTGTGGGTTTCACTGCATTTCCCTAATGTCTACTGAGGTTGAGCACCTGTTCGTACAGGTATCGGTCATTCTTGTTCTGTTAAGAGCCTGACAAAATCTCTTGCCCATCAATCTACTGGGTTGTTTGCTTATTACTATTATTGATTTGTCAGAGTTCATATATTTTAGATATACGCTCCTTATTAGATATATGTATTATGAATATTTTTCCCCAATGGATTAATGGGTGCCTTTAATGAACAAAGATTTTGTGTTAATGTAGTACTATTTATCTTTTCCATTGTGGTTAGGGCTTTTTATCTCTTTTTTTAAAGACATCTTCTCCTGCTCCAAGAATATGGAGATATTCTCCTATATTATCTTTCATAAGTTTTATTATTTCTCCTTTCATATGTAGATCTAAAATCCACTAAGTTAAGATCCAAAACACCCACAAATACGATGCGTATATAGAGTAAAGTAGGAGTGTTAGGCTTCATTTTTCCCCTCAATTTGGATACTTAATGGACCCAACACCATTTGTTAAAAAAACATCTTTCCCCTCCACTCTGCAATAAATCAAGTGTTCGTGCAGAGGTTCAATTCTGGACTCTGTATTCTGTTCTAACAATACATTTGTCAATCCTTGCATCAAAATTATACTCTTTGACTATCATATTTTTATAAGTATTGAATATTTTGATCATCTTCTTCAACTGTTCTTGGCTATTCTTGGTCCATGCATTTCCATATAAACGCTAGAATCAACTCCTCAGCACCCTCAGACGCCTCTGCTGGAACTGTGCTTGCCCTGGAGTGCACTGGGGAGCCCTCGGAAGCGCTCGCATGGACTCTAGATCCTTTTGGAGAACACTGCTATCTGTACAGGAGTGAGTCTCCCCTCCATAGGCATAGCATAGCCCTTCATTGATTTAGTCTTTTATAATTTCTGCAAACGTTGTCTTACAGTTTTCTAGTCTAGGTCTTGGATATACTTTGTTAGACTTATTCTTAAGTATTTGCTGTTTTTTATTCTATCGTAAGTGGTACTACTTTTTTAATTTGTTGTTAGAATATAGAAATTCAATTGATTTTGGTATATTGACATTATATCCAGCAAATTACCTAATAATTCTAATGATTTACTTGTAGATTCTTTTGGATTTTCTATGTATATAAGCATATCATCTTCAAATGGGAGTTTGATTTTTTTCCTTTCTGATCCTTCTATGGTTATTTTCTCCTTGTCTTATTTCACTGGCTGGGACCCCCACAGCAATGTTGAAGAGCAATGGCACGAGCGGGCATTCTTGACCCATTCTCAGTCTAGGGGAAATGCTTCCAACATTTCACCATTATATATGATGTTTGTTATAGTCTTTTTTGAGGGGTAAATATCCATTACCAGATTAAGTAATTTCTTCTTAGTTCAATAAGACATTTGATCATAAATCCATCTTGATTTTTGTCAGATATTTTTTCTGGATCAATTGCGATGATCATATAAATTTTTCTCCTTTATTCTGTTAACGTGGTGAATTACAATGATTGATTTTCAAATGTTAAACCAACCTTGCATTCCTAGAATAAATTGAAATTAGTTGTGACATAGTACCTTGTTTATATAGCAGCGGATTTGATTTGCTAGTATTTTGTTTGGGATTTTGTATCTATATTCATGAGATTGAATTTTGTTCTTGTAATGTCCTTCTCAGATTTTGGATTCAATGTTAGCAGGCCTCATAAAATTTAGTTGGAAAAATGTTCCTTCTTTTTTCATTCTGCAGGAGTTTGTGTATGATTGGTATTATTCTTCCTTAAAAATTAGGAAGAATTCTTGGGTAAAGCTATCAAGTCCAGGAGTTTACTTTGAAGGAAGGCTTTTAATTACAAATTCAATATCTTTAACTGATATGAGCCTATTCAGATTTTCTATTTTTTCTCGGATTTTTTTTGTCAAGGAATCTGTACCTTTCATCTAAATCGACAAATTTATTAACACAAAGCTGTTCAAAATACCTTCTCATTATCTTATTATCTTTTTAAAGTAGGATTTGTAATGATGTCCCTTTTATGTTCCTGATTTTAGTAAATTTGCATTTTCTTTCCTTCTTTTTTAAAATTAGTATTGCTAGAGGTTTTTCCATTTTAATCTATGTTTTTCAAAGAAGCAAATTTTGGTATTTTTGTTGAGTTTAGTTTGCTGTTTTTTTTCAAATTTCTTGAGTTAGGTGTTTATATGATTGACTTTTCAGCTTTTTTTTCCCTAATAAATACACTTAAGGCTATAAATATCAATCTAATCATTATGTTAGCCACATCCACAACTTTTGATATGTCATATTGTCATTATCGTTCAGTTTAAAAATATATTCTAATTTCTACTGTTATTTCTTCTTTGAACTGCAAATTACTTATGTGTATATTTTTTAATTTCCAAACATTCATAATTTTTCAAGTTTTCCTTCTTTTCCAGTGTGATCAGGGAACATATTCTGTGTGATTTCGATCTTTTACGTTTTGTTGAGATTTCCCTACGGCCCAGCATAGTCTGCTTTGGTCTGTTTTCATGCTGTACGCGTAAAGAGTGTGTATCCTCCAGCTGTTTGGTGTAGTATTGTATATACATCAACTAGGTGGAGTTGCTTAATTCAAGTCTTCTGTATCTTTACTGATTTCTTATCTGTTCTCTCAGTTACTAAGAAGAGGGTGTTAAAATCCCCAACTATGATTACAGACTTGTCAATTTCTTCTTTCAGATCTGTCAGTTTTATATAGTTTGAATTTTTAAGTAAAATATCTAAACTTTTAAAGGTTGAAAACTTGTTCAAATTTGTTTTTTAAAAACTGAGGGAATGGGGCCGGCCTGGTGGCGTAGCGGTTAAGTTCGGGCACTCTGCTTCAGCGGCCCGGAGTTTGTGGGTTCGGATCCCGGGTGCGCACCGATGCACCGCTTGTCAAGCCATGCTGTGGCGGCGTCCCATATAAAGCAGAGGAAGATGGGCACAGATGTTAGCCCAGGGCCAATCTTCCTCAGCAAAAAGAGGAGGATTGGCAATGGATGTTAGCTCCTCACACATACAAAAAAAAGCTGAGGGAAGCCAACAGCTCTAAAACCAGCCTTATCCCATCGGTCTCTGAGCTGCCAGCTCTGACTCTGCCCATTTCACCCCTCTAATCTTCACTGTCCCCCTGGGAGATACAGTTCCCTGGGGGACATGGCACAGGCCCTGATGGTTTTGGAGAGCCAGGAGGTCACTAGCACTTGGTGGCCACAGCCCCTCCCTGCCCTGACTCCTTTCCCGGCCTGGGCCCTTGCAGGGCCAGGGGCTCATGCCCAGCTCCCTCCTCTCTGTGCTCTGCAGGGGCGAGGCTCACCTTGCATGCCCGAAGGTCCAAAGTCCTGCCGGGTGAGGAAGATGGCGTGATCGTGGTATTCATCGTGGCCTGTGTCTGGCTTCTGCTGGAGGTAGGCCCAGCGGCAGACGTTCTCCAGGCTCTGAGAGGGGTTCCCAATCTCGATGAGGCTCATGGACTGCGGGGGTGGGAGAGACAGGAGACAGGGGTGAGTGTCTGCTGGACCAGACCAGAGCCCAGCAGGCAACAGCGTTCGCAGACCCCATCTACTGGGGACCTGGTCCAGGTGGCACTAAGCCCAGTCCCTCTTAGGACCAGCCTCCCACTTGGCTCCTTCCCCAGTCACACAGACCTGCATGAGTTTCCACACAAAGTCACGGCACAGTTTTCAGGTGAGATGTGGAAGCAAATCTCTGAGGCCACCTAAGGCCTCAAACAATCCATTCACTCCACCCCATTTCCAGGGGTCCCTGCATTCTATTAGGCTCCTACTCTGTGCAGGCCCTGGACAGGAGGCAAATGCAATGTGGACCTCACCCTGAGGAGCTCACAGTCCTGGCAGGGTCCAGGGAGCAGAGACGGAACTCCCCACAGGGTGTGCAAGCCCAGAGAAGGGGGAGATAACCCTGTTTTCCCCTGTTTGTGAAGGTATTTACAGAAAACAACACAATGGGGGAAAAGCTGCAGCAGATAGAGCAAGGGAGCCCCACGAAGAGCAGGAACAGAGAGACAATTCCCTCAGGAGCCACGGCTGAGGCCTTGGGAGCAATCATGTACCGCTTGTATGGAGATGCAAATCTGACAGCCACGCTGGCCACACTCTGCACCACGGCGTTGCCATTCACTCTCTCGCTCAGTCCTCACAACCACCCTGAGAGGGGGAAACTGAGGCTGGGAGAAGTCAAGTCACTTGCCCCACATCACACAGCTAGGAAGCAGAGTTGAGATCTGACCCCAGGAAGTCTGAAACCGAAGTCTGTATTCAACCTCCTGCCTGATGAACTGCCTCCCCAAGTAAAACATACACCAGAGTGTCTCACAGCGAGGCTCCCACAACAGGCACGCTGCCCTTTTCTCTCACACCATTCCTTTCTGCTCTCACCACAAACTCCCGCCACCAAAGTGGTCCCCTGCAGGCGAAGAGTCCTGGGCATGCCCTTTTCCTCTTTAAGGACATATCTGTTCATAAAGTAGAGACATGCATTCCTTGGCATACATGTGTGCAGACGTTCTGTTTCTTCTCTTGCATAAATATATTCATCAAGCAGAGGCACATATTTCTCCTTGTGTGTATAAGTAGCAGAGAGTAGATATAAGGTATTGTTAGTAAGCCGGGGTGTTCCAGAAGAAGGAAGAACAATTCAAAGCCGGGGAGGACTGGTCATTGCCAGGGATCTCGTGTGTTACCCGAGTCAATGACTTTCAAGATGGCAGACCAATTCCCAAGCCCCAAGCACAGAGTTCACTGCTTCTGGGAGATGAGATTACTCGTTATAACAAGATGTAGTTGTAAATCATAGACTGGCAGGAGAGGGCTGGTGACCAGGACTGTTGGACATCGGCACAGAGATGGACAGCCCAAAGGAAGCTGGGGGAGGGGAAGGGAAGTGCACTTCCTGCCCCCTCATGATTCGGGGGAGCGTGTGACCAGCTCTGGCCAACGAGCTGTGAGCAAAAGTGACATATGTCTCTTCCTGGTCAAAGCATTTAATTACCCCCATGAGACCCTCCAGAGATCTCTTCTCGCTGGCATGTGAACCAACAATGTCGAGATGGTGGCTGCTTTGTCACTCAGGCCCTGAGTGACAATGAGATCAGAGTCCTCTGCCAACTCACACTGAACATGTAGCGTGAGCAGGAAATAAATCTTTGCTATTGTAAGTCTCTGGGACGTGGAGCTGGTTTGCTTCTGCAGCACGTCCTCACCCAGCCTGGCTGATACGGAGGGGCTGAGGAAAGGAACAGCATCTGTATCATATCCACGCCAGCCCCGCACAGGTCAGCCCAAGTTCCTGCCAGGCTGTGGCTGCCTCCAGAAAAGCTTGAGAGGTCACAGCTCTGAAGGAGGAATCAAGTGACAGGATGTCCTTTCCTGGGATGAGCTTTAGGTGGGATGAGAAGGAAGGGACCCTCATGGTGGATCTGATTTGGTGCTAGAGTTTGGGGCCTTGTGGTTGTGTCCCACTGAGCTTAAGACTGCCAGCCCAAGGCCAAATCAGAGGGTGATCACAAAGGCCACTAATGACCACTTCACCTAGGATGGCCCCAGAGGCCCCCTCGAGCTCAACTCCCTCTGTCCCACAAAGCCTGATGCAGCTCAGCAACCTTGCTAGGCCGCATCCAACGAAAGAGGCCCCTCCAGGGCCGTGTCTCCCAGCCTGAATGTCAGGAGATTACAGTCGTCCCCCGTTATCCAAGGGGGATAGGCCCCAAGACACCGAGGGGATGCCTGAAACCTCAGATGGTACTGAACCCTATGTATGCTGTATTTTCCCTATACACACATACCTATGATAAAGTTTAATTTATGAATTAGGCACAGTAAGAGATTAACAACAATAACTAATAATAAGATAGAACAATTGTAACAATACACTGTGATAAAGTTACCGTAGGTCTTAGCAACCTCAGCATATGATTTTTTATTCTTTCCTCATTAAGTCAAGAATTTTCACCTTTTCACTTAAAGGAAGCACTTTACGGCTTCTCTTTGGCATATCCGGATTGCCGGCATCACTGCTCTTGTGCTTTGGCAAGGCTCATTGTTAAGTAAAATAAGGGTGACTTGAACACAAGCACTGTGATACCGCGACAGTCGATCTGATAACCCGATGGCTACTAAGTGACTGACAGGTGGGTAGCGTCTACAGCGAGGACCCGCTGGACAAAGGGGTGATTCATGTCTTGGGAGGGACAGAGCGGACGGCCATGAGATTTCATCAGGCTACTCAGAACAACGTGCAATTTAAAAATTATGAACTGTTTATTTCTGTAATTTTCCATTTAATATTTTTGGGCCATGGTTTACCGTGGGTAACTGAAGCCATGGAAAGCAAAATCATGGAGAAGGGGAGACTACTGTATTCCCCATGCTGGCCCCACCTGCCCTCAGGGACCAACGTTCTAGTCTGGACCCCTCCAGGGTCCTGTGGCTGTAGTTACTTTTCCCTGCACTCTTCTGACAACAGCAGCCCAGACCCCTTTGGTAAAATAACCCCTCTGTTAATCTGGGTCTGACCCCAGGCTCAGGGGTGGGAGGGCTCAGGCCTGGCCAGTCCCAGCTCTGCACCTTCCTGGCACCAAGATGGTTCTCAGTGAATGCCAACGAAAGTGGGCCAAGGAGTTAGAAAGGTGTGAGACTGTGAGCCTGGAGCTGCTGGTGCCCCCTGCCACTATCCGGGCAGACCCCAGCTGAGGAGGAAGCCCACACAGAACAGAGCAGGGCCCCGGGCTGGAGAGAGGTTCATTCCTGCTGTCCTCACATGACCACCTGGCTCACCCAAGCCTGAGGCCAGCCCACCACAGATCTGCTTGCTATCCATTGCTATGTTACAAGTTATTCCAAACCTTTACAGTCAAAAAAACCAAACATTTATTATTTTGTGGTTTCTGTGGATCAGGAATCTGCAAGCAACTTTGCTGAGTACCTCTGGCTCAAGGTCTTGCATGAGATTGTCAAGCTGAAGACAGGGTCTGTGGTCTCCTCTGAAGGCTGCCATGGGGGAGGACGAGCACCCACACTCACTCACGTGGCTACTAGTGGGATTCAGTTCCTCATGGGCTACTGGGCTGAGGGTTCCTTGCCACACCACGTGGGCCTCTCCACACACGGCAGCTTGCTTCCTCCAGCACGAGTGACCCGAGGGACGGCAAGAGAACACACATCCAAGACAGAAGCTAGTCTATTTACAACCGAATCGGGGGTTGGGGAGAGGACTATGCCAGGGTGTGATACAGGAGGCAGGGTCTCCTGGGGGCCAGCTTAGAGGCTGCCTGCCACAGATGTGTGTCTCGTTTATATGTGTCAGGAAATTCCTCCTTGTGAAAGTTGATTTCAGTTGTGTTAGTGTTGCTTGCAGCTGCGAGTCCTGAGCAAGTTACTTCCTCCTTGAGGGGACCATGGGAGCTCCAGTCAAGCGACTGGCTGGTCTCCAGGGTCCCCCTGGTGCGTCTCACACCAGTGGGAGAAGAGTTCCGGCCACATCTCTGAGGAGGAGTCAAGAGTCCAGCCAGAAAGAGACACTCGTTTCAGGGCCAGAGAGCAGGAGTAAGGCCATGCGGTGGGGGGCAGAACCAAAGGCAGGGGCCGGGCTGACACAGGCAGGCTGGGGACCGCAGAGAGGCCCGAGTGCTCAGGGGGTGGGCTTCTGGGAAATGATGGGGGGCGCTGCACACCCAAATGCCTACAGGGGCAAGGCGGGTGATGTAAATCAGTGAGGCCGGTTGGTTGTAAGAAAAATAAGTCTCTCCTTTATTTTTCCAGTGTAGAAGGGGTAAAGATCCAGGGCAATATTTCCCTATTATGATAAAGAAAGTGGGGGTCGATAAGGAATGGCGAGGACTGTAGCAAACCAAGGAGCCTATGCACAGCTGAAGGGGCGGTGACAGCACCAGCCCACTGCTGGCACGCAAAAACAGAGACCGGAATTGCCAGATTGGACTTCTCAGGCCAATCTTTAAATCTAGATTTTACAAAGAAGCCTACCTCACAGTAAATGTTGACTCAAATAAGTTATGTGGACAAAACAAAACACATCCCCCAGATGGCCAGGTGGAGAGCCCTGGAATAAGGGTCCGCAGGCAGACGGTCCTCCCGTCCTTCCAGGTGGACTCACACTGCCAGCGCCTCCTCCCCCAGAGGCTGGGCTCCTACGTTCCAAGCCCCCTCCCCCAGCCAAAGTGACTTGGCTGTGGCAGCAGGATAATTTATTGAAATATTGATTTGTGCTTTGTTCTTGCTTTGTCTTTCCTTCACTCATGCCAGGAAGGCAGACTGCCACCTGCGTTCCCCAGCCCACGGGGGTTTGTGCTGCAGCATCCAGAGCACAAGTTGTCTGAGATCCCCTCCCGGCTTTGGGGTTCTGAGGAGACTACCCCAGGGGAGCAGCAGAGAGGACTCGGAGGGGCTTCCCCCTGGAACGAGGTCGCCTTGGGGAGACAGACCTGGGCCCCGGAGCC